TAACATGCTGAGGGCACGTCCCACGGGCTCTGGAGAGTGGGATTACACGACAGGTTTGCTCTGGTGTTTGTGTTCACGAACACAAAGTTCATGAGCCATGATTTGATGGAAAACCTGGCACGGTCTCAAAGGGTTTTTTGCGTCAAAGGAATGCATCTTTTAGTGCAATTCTCCATGAACCTTCTGAAGTCCCACCACGGAGAACGTTAGCCCCCCACTCACACCTTCTGGTTTTTCCTAGTGTCATCTTGTGCCAGCGTCCTACCTGGGACACCACGTACTGCTTAGCTTGTCTCCTTGGGCTCCCCTAGGCTGGGACAGTCCGTGCCTTTACTCCTCTGAGGTGAGCTTGAGGACTTTGTGGAGGACTAACCAAGCATCGTGTGGGATGCATGGGGGGAGCTTAGGCGGGACAGTGCTGTGGCATGGTGCGTTTAGCCACTACCCGTGATGCCAGCATCCCATGTGGGTGCCAGCTGGAGTTCCAGCTACTCTACTTCCGATCCAGCTCCTTGCTAGCGCACCTGAGAAAGCAGCACAAGATGGCCAAAATAACTGGGCCTCTGCCACCCACCTGGGAGACCTGGAAGAGGCTCTCAGCTCCTGGCTCTGGCCTGGCCCAGCCCAGCCATCAGGGGAGTGATCCAGCAGATGGGAAATCTTTCTTCCTGACCCCCTGTGTAACACTGTCTTTCAAATAAATAACACCTTTTTTTTTAAAAGTTATTTATTTTTATTGGAAAGACAGACTTACAGAGAGAAGCAGAGACAAGAGAGAAAGATCTGCTATATGCTGGTTCACTGGCCAAGTTGCTGCAACAGCCAGAGCTGAGCCGATCTGAAGCCAGGAGCCTGGAACTTCCTCCCGGTCTCCCACACAGGTGCAGGGCCCCAAGGCTTTAGGCCATCCTCTGCTTTCCCAGGCCACAAGCAGGGAACTGGATGGGGAGTGGAACATACAGGACATGAATCAGTGCCCATATGGGATCCCAGCATTTGCGAGGAGAGGATTTAGCCACGAAGCTATCTTGTCAGGCCCAAATAAATAACGCTTAAAAAAAAAAAAAAAAAAGACTAGTCTATGTTGACAGGTTTGGGAAGAAGATGCCGGGTGAAGTCCACGTTCACTTGAGTCACCAGTGCTGATGCTGACAGTGCCAGCCTCCTGAGACACGACGGGTTCTCACCACGGTCAGGCCCCTTCCCCGCTGCCCATACTGTGTCGTTAGAGGGGATGCACACCTCCTGAGGGGCTGGCGACTGGAGCTTCTCCTCCTGGTCACCGGAACCATCCACATACACTATTTACATTTTCCCTCATGGCAGATTGTCCTGTATTTCCTCCGTCCTCAACTCTTCATTGACTTAAGCACACACTGATTCAAAACTATGGTCTCAGGGGGTATTTATAGCATGCTCTACCACCCAGCATATGTCGGATTTTGCAAAGCATTTGGTCCCCGTGTCCTTGGTGTTTTGGGAATAGCTGCTACAATGTGACACTAAACCCCATATCTAATAAACGATGTTGCCCTCTTCCCCCACCCTGCCTGCAGTATTCATGGGCTGAAAAACCTACGTCCTGCTCTTTTAGCAAACAAAACAGGGACAGCAGGGGGCCCTGCCGAGGGGTAGCCACACGCCTGTGTTGGAAGCCACACTCCTGGGAATTTGGCTTGCAGTTCAGGGACACAGACCCGCCCCTGCAAGCGCCTCAGGGCCCTGTCCGTGGTCCTGCCCTGCCTTCCCGTCCAGGAGTCAGCCGGAGTCAGCTGCAGCCTCTCCAGCCCCAGGCCAGGCTGTATCTAGAGGTGACAGAGGGAGTTCCTTCCATTCTCTCTCAGAGCTGATCCACTGGCGTGACATGAACAAGGTGAAATTTAATAGGCATGAGTCAGGTAATGTAGGCTGAGATTCAAGAAACCATTGACACACAGGCCTGATCTCAACAGGGCAAGATTTCTAAAACAAGCAATTGTGTTAGGATCAGTGAGTCCGGAGGGCCCGGCAGCCAGCCACGCCACACTTTCCCAAAGAGCAGCATGGTTTAAAACACAACAGTGCAAGTGGACGTTTTGAGGTCAGATGGGGGAAATCTGCAAAAGGTCTGCATATTAAATCAGATGAAAATGTACTGAAGCAGAAAAATAATGATCATTTCCTGGAACAGAAATTAGGTTACAAAACAGTATGCACGGCATGAGCTCATTTTATGCAGGAAATCTACACAGAGGCAGAGGCATAGAAGCAGCTCCGGAAGGATCTGCCCAGAGTGTCACAACGGACTCCCTGGAAGAGGGGAAGCGTGTTACCTCTTGTCCAGCTCACGACTCTCCCATGGTATGCATAGCCTGCTCCTGTAATTATGTAAGACAGAAGTGTCTCAAGCAGACCTGGGGTGGGGGACTCATGACCAGAAGCCCCCTTGAAAGTGCAGGCCCACCCACAGTCCCGTGTGTGGGAGACGCACCAGGTGGGCTCTGAAAGACCCTGCAGTCCCTGACACGGAGAACGCAGGGAGAAAGCACATAAAACCTTCTAAGCCCTGTGGATTCCCGTGCAGGGGGCACACCCAGAGAGCGCCTCCATCCCTCCACGCCCTGGGGTGTCACACCTGTAGAAGAGGTGCCCAGAGTGTGCCTGGAATCCACTGGGCCCCCAAGGTGGTGCTCTACAGCCCCGGGCCCTGAGAACGCACCAACGGTGCCTTGAAAACTACCACGCCTGGCAACACCACGCCTGCAGGCTCCAATCTCTACAGGAAAGCATCTGACGGCCCCTCAACACACGGGTCCATTTGCCCCACCAGAATACACCAACGCAATGGGAAAAACCACCAGAAAGAGTTGTGCTCCAGATGAAAGAGCCAGCACCCCACCAAACAAGGGCCAAAAGCCATTATCAATATCGACGATACGAGATGAAGACATGGACGTGTTACCAGCAAAGGAATTGATGAAAATAATTAAAAAAAAAAAAAAAAAAAAAAAAGTAAAACTAGAAAGTGCAGGCCCAGTCTGAGCCACCTGTGGGCACCTGTCACATGGTAGGGCTGCGAAGGTCGTGGGGGGGGGGGATGTCGCATGTGGCTGGCACCAAAAGTGAGCAAACAGCAGATTCAGGCTGGTACGGAGGCAATCAGGAGGGAAGACGGGCAGGAGTGGGTGGGAAGGCGTGAAGGGGCAGGAATGTGGTTTTCACATGCTGAAAGGCTGCCACATGGAAGGGAGACCCATGCACGGCCTTGTGCACAAGTGTGGCGACTAACATGGCTTACAGGTCCAGCTCCAGAGTGTGGGAGGGAGAAGGTTCTTGCTGCAGGGCAGCCCACCTTGGGAGAAGAAGGGCAAGCTTGAGGGGACACCGGCTGAGGCTGGCAGCCTTCTCCCCAGTGCTGGGGCTCTGGGGTTCTGGACCTGCAAGGCTCAGCTTGAGCTGGGCAGCTTTCAGCTCCACTCCACCCGCAGCTCACGTCCTGCTGGGAAGGGGCTGTTCGTCTGCCACAGAGGGTCTTGGCTCACCCTTGTAGAAGGACAAGAGTCTTGGTGGGGTAGGGACAGCCCTGGGCAAGACCCTGCAGAGAGGAGCGCGGGCTCCAAGCAGGCAGCTGCGGCCTCCTGGGATGGGGACCTGCATTGCTGCACCTGACACCTGCCCCACCCTCTTCGACTAGGTCCCCACACATGCCCAGGTACCCACAGAGAGGGGCTGGTCTGTCACCTCCCACCTGACAGGTAGTGGGGGAGCCACAGGTCTACCTGGCTATCGCCAGCTTTTCTCACACCAGGCCTGGGATGAGCACAGTGGCACAGCAGGCTAAGCCACCACTCGGGACAGCTGCATCCCATCTGGAGTGCTCTTTTGAGTGAGCACTTGCCTGCTTTGTTTCTGATCTGGCTTCTCGCTAAGGCACCTGGGAAGTAGTTGAGGATGGCCAATGCCTACTTGGACCCCTGCCACCTACATGGAGTTTTGGGATTCTGGCTTCAGTCTGTCCAGGTCCTGGATGTTGTAAACATTTGGGGAGTGAGCCAGAGGATGGACAGTCTCCTTCTGCCTTTCAAGTGATGACATTTTTTTTTTAAAGTGACAGGTCTGGACCCATCTGTCCTGGGATGAGGGTCTCCTGGGATGACCTCCAGCTTGAGGTCGAAGGACCCAGGCTCCCCTGGCAGGGCCCGAGGTCTCAGGTGGCCTTGAAAGCTGACCATATCAGAGTGGACAGTACCCTTCCTGCCCTCCCCAAAGACACGGTCACCGGGCCCAGTGCTAATGAGGCCTTTGCCGAGGTTACTCTGTCCACCCACGGGCAATCTGGTCGCTGTCATCGGTGCACACCAGTCCTGCTTTCCCGTAAACAAATGGCCTCACTGCAAGAAAACATTGCTCAGCACCATCTCGGAGTTTGGCTCTGACAGGCCTGCGGCAGCCACCACCGCCAATTACCAGCCAGGCCTGCCCGTCCGAGCTTGCCCGGGAGGCGAGCAAGCACCTGGCTCAGAATCCAGGCGGGTTGCAAGTGGATATCTCCCCCTCTGGGCTCTACGCAGGGCGGGCGCAGCAAGGCTGGGGGCCAAGGCTGGTCCCTCTGCCCCTGGGCTAGGCCCAGCGGCGCACGCAGACACTGCGGCTGGGTCGGCCGCCCGCAGCGCGGGGTGGGGACCTGCGGCCAGATCCCGGCAGCCGCTTCCCGGTCAGACACCAACTGCGTCTGCACACCGCTCGCACAAACCCGCACGGCCGGGGGGGAGGGCAGGCTGAGCAGGAGGCCACCTGGGCGTGACTCGTGGCCGTGCGGGTTGTAGCCGGAGTCCGAGCCGGGCGTGAGGCAGCCCGGCCTCCAGGCGCTCAGCTCGGGCGGAGAGAAAGGTCGGCACCCGCTGGGTCTCCCCGCCACAAGAAATTCAGGGGGACCGTGGAGTTTGGGGAGCAGCCGGGGGGGAGGGGAGAGGACGCGGGGAAGGCAGCCCGAGGCCCGAGCGGGGCCGCCGCCTCCTTACCTCTTCGCCTTGGCCGAAGCGCAGGCCGAGCGCCGCCACGCGCTCCACGCGCAGGAAGCCGTCGGGGTCGCGGCCGCACACCTCGAACACCTCGCGCAGGCGGCGCACGGAGCGCAGCAGAGCCGCGGGGGCGCCCGCCCAGCCCGCGCCGCCCGCCATCCGCGCCGGCCCCGCAGTCAGCCCGAGCCCCGCGCCGCGCGCCGCCGCCGCCCGCCCCGCGCCAGCGCCATGGCCGTGGCCATCGCCGCGCGCCCGCCCGTGCGGCGCGCAGCCTCCCAGCCGTGGCAGCCGCGGCCGCGCCGCTCCCGGCGGGGGCAGGGGAGGGGGCGGGGAGCGGCGGGCACGCTGCAGACAAAAGGAGCCGCGCGTCTTCCCTGCGTGGGGCCACCCTCGCCGGGCGGGGGGAGGGGCGCGCTGCGAACGGTCGCCTCCTGCCCGGACTCAGTTTCCCCAAGAGGCTTCCTCCGCTTGGAAAGCCGCCGAGGGTGGGCGCACCGCCGCCGCCCGCCCCCCTGGGCGAGGCAAGTGCCCGGTGGTCAGAGAGGCTGGGACCCGGGAAGCCGCCGGCGCCCTCCGTCCTGCGGCCGACCCCCCTGCTGGCTTCTCGCGCCCCTTGCTGGCCCTCAGCGGCCCCAGGAAGCCCCCAGGTGCCTGCTGCTCTCGTCCTGATGGCTAAGGCTTTATTTCCTAGGCAACGGAGACCCAAAGAGGATGGTCCACCCACCTTAGAAACACGCAGCTCGGGAGAGGCGGGGCCGGATTCGTACCCCGGTTTGGGTGGAGCTCAGCCCTCTGTTCCCGCGTCTGTGGCTGCGCGCTGCGGGGCTGCCACGGCTTCCAGAGCCCTGGTCTTGCAGGCTTAAGGGCCTGTAGGTGTTTTGCTTTTTTTTTTTTTTTTTTTAATTGTTAGTCCCTGTTGATCTTCAGTTCTGTCTTGGGAGAACTTGGTTGGACTGAAGCTCCTCGGCTCCCTGCCCTAACGGAGTGGGTGCAAGCTGCCGGGGCATGCAAGAAAAGGCCGTTCTGAAGAAATGGTTGATTGAGAAGCTCACTCTTAGAGCGCGGGCAAGACCTCAGGCCGGCCGACTGCAGCCCCCTTTATCTTAGCAATGTCTTTCTCCCGGGAACCCCAGCTGTTGCCCGGCCTCCCCTCTGCACCCTGCCCCAGCTGGGGTGCTGTCTGAGTGTGGCACCCAGACACTCCCCCCAGCTCACGGGTCCAGCTGCCCCCTCTGCATCCCCTGCCCGTGGGAGTTCACGGTGCTGCCCTGGAGATGGACTCCAGGTTTGCCTGTTGCCTGCAGGTTGAGCATGAGAAGTGATATGCCTTTGGTTAGCTATGGGCCCGACCCTTGGCTTCACATTCTGTAAACCAACACTTGGCTCTTTGAAGGACGTTCCTTTGATAGGAAGTGTCATCTTCGATAGGAAGCAGTTCCCGTACCTTTAAATTTTGTGTGAAGGAGCATCGTGGTGGAGTGGGTTCAGCTGCCGCCTTCAGCGTTTTGCGCCATCAGAGCGCCTGTTCATGTACACAGGCTGTTCTACCTCCGTCCCAGCCAGCTCCCTGCTGATGCAACTGGAAAGGCAGTGGAGGACGGTCCACGTGCCCGGGGCCCTGCACCCACACTGGAAACGTGGAAGAAGTTCCTGGCTCTTGGCCTTCGCCTGGCCCAGCCCCAGCTATTGTGGACACCTGGGAGTAAAACAGCAGATGGAAGAGTGTCTTGCCTTCTCCGCCCCTCTCCAGCATGGCTTCTTGCTGGTCAGGTCTCCTCAGAATGTGGCCTGCTCTGGAGCCAACAACGTCTTTCTTTCTTTCTTTCTTTCTTTCTTTCTTTCTTTCTTTCTTTCTTTCTTTCTTTCTTTCTTTCTTTCTTTCTTTCTTTCTTTCTTTCTTTCTTTTTTTTATAAAGATTTATTTATTTTTATTGGAAAGTCAGATATACAGAGAGGAAGATCTTCTGTCCATTCACTCCCAAAGTGACTGCAACGGCCCATGCTGTGCCGATCCGAAGCCAGGATCCAGGAACTTCTTCTGGGTCTCCCACGCGGGTGCAGGGTCCCAAGGTGTAGGGCCGTCCTCGACTGCCTTCCAGGCCACAAGCAGGGAGCTGGATGGGAAGTGGAGCCGCCGGGATTAGAACTGGTGCCCATATGGGATCCCGGTGTGTTCAAGGTGAGGACCTTAACCACTAGGCCACGTCGTCGGGTCCCCAACAACGTATTTCAAGCAGCTTGGAATCCCAGCGTACCACACAGGAAAGCCACCTCAAGGTTTTCATCATCTCCTGGGAGAGTTCTTACTGACCTTCCGTTGTGTGAGTCTGGGCTTGAGCCAAACTCACTTGTAACCAGTACACACCAAGGGCTGGCTGGCCGGGTCTGCCCGGGTGTCTTGGTTTGGTTTTGTAACCAGTACACACCAAGGGCTGGTCGGCCGGGTCTGCCTGGGTGTCTTGGTTTGGTTTTGTTTCAAGGGGAAGGGCTTACGTGGCTGAAGCCGGTGATTCAGCCCTAGATCTCCTGGTTATGAATACAATGGGGCACCTGTGCTATGAAGATGTGGGGCTGAGTTTGAGGCAGGAGAGTGGCCTGGCTGGGGAGCCCATGTGAGCCTGAGGCGTGGGGGACACCTGGGCAAGCAGGGGGAGAGTTAGGCAAGCTCAGGTTTCTGCCTGCTCTGCCCTGAACAAGTCCCAGGGTCCTCTGGGCCTGGGAGCTCTTAGAAGGGTCTCTACTGGTCGAAGTAGCCAGTATAGTGAGAGAGAATGGCTTCCTGTGCCCATGTCGCTGGCTTGGCAGCCCGGGGCTCTGCAGGAGTCGGTGCGTGTGGGGTGCAAAGTTTATGTCGTTGTCTCCGCTCCTGTCCACGCCTGCCACCCGTGCGTTCCCTGCGGTGAGGCTGCGTGTCAGGAACTCACCTCCTCCTTCACAGAAGGCACGGCTCTCAGGAGACTGGCGACGTGCAGCCGTGTCAGCTCCGAAGCTGTTTCTTTGAGGTCCTTCCCCCGAGGCCTTCCTTCGGCCCTCTCTCCTCTTGTCTCTGTTGGCTCTGACCCGTCTCTGCCGGGGACTGTGGGCTCCTTAGGGCGCTGTCTTTATTCTTCGTCTCTCTAGGACACACTTGGCCTGGTACACATCCCACACAAAAAGTGTTTGCTGAAAAAAAAAATGCAAAAAACAAAACAAAAACTCATTTTCAGCGTTCGATGTCTGTCTTCCAAAAGTTTTCTCCCTATGTATCCCAATAGTTTGGCAAAATTGAGATCTTCTTAATGAACAAATAATTTTTGCATTTTTTGGTTCTTCAATGTGATTTCAGATGTATTTTCCATGTTATACTTTTTAAAAAAATATTTATTTGAAAGGCAGTTACAGAGGTCTTCCACCTGCTGGCTCACTCCCCTAAAGATGGCTGGGCCACAAGGAAGCCCAGACTTGAACTGGTACTCATATGGGATGCGGCTGCTTCGCTGACACTGCCACGATGCCAGCCATGGTGACACATCTTCAAACCTTAGTTATACCAACAGTAACTATTTATCACACAGTTCATGTATGCTAGCTGTGGTACCAGGGGCTCTACAATTTCTTTGTTTCCAATTTTCAAGATGAGTGTCATTAGCTCCATTTTACAGATGGAAAAACTGAGACTGATAGCTAAAGCAGCGCGTGTGAACAATAGCCAACAAAACTAAATGGGTCTCTAGGTCCTAGACCAGTGGCCTAGCGGCTAAAGTCCTTGCCTTGAACGTGCTGGGATCCCATGTGGGCACCGGTTCTAATCCCGGCAGCCCCACTACCCATCCAGCTCCCTGCTTGTGGCCTGGGAAAGCAGATGAGGACGGCCCAAAGCTTTGGGACCCTGCACCCACATGGGAGACCTGAAGAAGGCTCCTGGCTTTGGTTTGGCTCAGCTCCAGCCATTGCAGACACTTGGGGAGAGAATCAACAGATAGAAGATCTTCCTCTCTGTCTTTCCTCCTCTTTTGTATATCTGAATTTGCAATAAAAATAAATAATTAAAAAAAAAAAACTAAATTGGTCTCACTGACTTTAATATTCTTATTACTATCATATCATGCCATTCCCCATCGTTTTTCAGTGGTTTCATAATACACTTTTGAATGGATATGTCATTGTTTAACCACTCCTCATTTTTGTTAGGATATTTACTAATTATAGAATTGTAAAAAGAAGTTTATTGTATTTATTTGAAAGGCAGATTTAAAGAGACAGGGAAAAGGAAAAGGAAATGGAGGGGAAGCGAGAGAGAGAAAGAGAGAAATATTCTATCTGCTGGTTCACTCTCCAAGTGTCTGCAAAAGCCAGAGCTGAACTGTAGCAAGCCAGGGGCTTCTCCTTGGTCTCCCATTTGAGTGCAGGGTCCCAAGGCCTTGGGCCGTCTTCCACTGCTTTCCCTTAGAGGAGCTGGATCAGAATGGTAGCAGCTGGGACTCCAACTGGCACTCATACAGGATGCAGGCATGGAAGGTGGTGGCCTCACCTGCTGTACCCCAGCATCCCTTAAAGTTAGATATTCTAAGCTAGGGGCAGCATGCATCACCGTATTAGCAGACTTCCCCACTACATTTGGGTGGAGCAGAGTCCCAGCCGTGGAATTACTGTGTGAAAGGGCTGGCCTGCATCTATGGCTTCTGGGCATTCAAGGCAGCTTGCTTCCCTGGAGGACTGTGTTCCAGCAGGCTCAGTGTCAGGGCTCCTGCAGGATGTCAGCTGCCCTTTAGCTCCTGCAGGGTGTGCAAGGCCCTCCCTCCAGGAAAGCCCCAAATCTGCTTGAAGAGCCTTCAGAGCTGACCGGGAGAAAGAAGGGGGTGCATCACGAGTTAGAAATCAAAGCCCAACAGACCGACTTTCCTGGACTCCTCCTGCAGGCAGATGATCTGGGGAAGGACCTAGGGCTCCAGCTGGGCCATGCAGGCTCCTGCCTTGTAACCCTGGGTGACAGACCTTCCTCCGTGTGTCTCTTAGGACTTGGAACCTCAGATCTCCACACCAGTCAGGCAGCCAGCCCCTGTGAGGCCCCTCTTGTCCAGATCTCTGTGACGCCCACAGGAGCAAGAAGAGGCCGGTCAACTGGCAAGTGGGCGTGCGGAGGCTGGCACGGAGCTCAGCAGGTTCCCAGGCCCCAGGGCCGCCTCTCAAGACCAGGGTGTTGGC